TGTGGGCATCTGGAGAAATAGGAAATCTCTGGCCAAGGAATGTCTCTGCAGGAAGAGTCTGGAGGGCCAGGAGGAGAAAAAAAAAAACATTAATAATGAGAGAGAATCAATGATGAGCTGCCTCCTGCTTTCCCCATACTAGGGGATCTACCCTGGGGCACAAGAATGTGCCCTGATTGGGAATAGAACTGTGAACTCCTGGATCATAGGTCCATGTGGAACCACTAATCCATTCTGGCTGTGCCATTTTTAGAAAAATATATTTTATTGATTTTTTACAGAGAGGAAGAGAGAGGGATAGAGAGTTAGAAACATCGATGAGAGGGAATCATCCATTAGCTGCCTCTTATACACCCCCTACTGGGGATGTGCCCGCCACTAAGGTACAGGCCCTTGACCGATTACCTGGGACCTTTCCGTCTGCAGGCCGACACTCTATTCACTGAGTCAAACTGTTTTTGGCTTCATTCAAGTTTCTAACTCTCTCCCCCTCTCCCCAGCTCCATGAAATCAATAAAAAATAATTTAAAAATGAACTAAAATTTTTACTTATTTAAAATATATTTTATTGATTTTTTACAAAGATAAAGGGAGAGTGATTAAGAACCAGAAACATCAATGAAAGAGAAACATTGACCATCTGCCTTCTGCAAAACCCTTACCGGATATGTGCCTACAACTAATGTAAATGCTCCTGACCAGTATCGAACCTGGAACCTCCCTCTCCCTTTCTTTCTGAAATCAATAAAAATATATTTTAAAAAAGGGGGGAGGGGCAAAACCAGTTTGGCTCAATGGACAGATCATTGGCCTGAGGACTGAAGGATCCCGAGTTCCATTCTGGACAAGGGCATGTACCGTGGTTGCAGGCACATCCCCAGTAGGGGGCATGCAAGAGGCAGCTGAATTATGACTCTCATAGATGTTTCTAAGTAAATCTCTCCCTTCCTCTCTGTAAAAAATTTATAAAATATATTAAAAAAATAAAATCCTCATATTCTCTCTTTAAAAAAGGGGGGGGGGAATAGAAGAAGTATATTATGTAAGGAAAATATCTTTTAAGTAAATTACATCTAGAAAATTTTTACTTTAGAAAATTAATTTTCACTTGCAATGCTAACAGAAGACACCCATGTAAAACATACATGGGGTCAAAACAAGCCAAAGGAAAATCCTTGGGCAAAAAAATGAAAAAGAATTGCCAGTAAAATTTATAGAAAAGACTGATTCATTTGCCTTTCAACATAATCATAATTGTTTGTCTCATTATCAGTTTTTATGAGCATTTCTAGTATCACATGATCTCATTCATTTGGGGAAATAATGAACACTATAGAGTGATGAACAAGAATAGACCCGGAGACAAGGAAGCATAGATCAGGCAGTGGGACCTCAGAGGGAAGGGAAGGTAGGGTGGGGATAAGGGGGAGAGATCAACCAGACTTGTGTGCATCCATATGAGCCTAAGTCAGGGAAAACAGTGGGGTATGGGCATGCGTGGGGAGGGGTTTGGGATGGGAACGGGGAGATGAGGAAATATGTGTGATACCTTAATCAACAAAGAAATTTAAAAAAATAAATGAAATAAAAAAAGAAAATTGCCTCTATAAATCAACAAAAGACCTGTGCTCAGTTTTCTTGAGATATTAATGTTTATTGCAGGTAACATATGTTAGATTCATTTTCTGGAAACAATAAGCAAACATCTATATATATAAAGGTCAAGCAAAGCAAAGGTCCCACCCCCCACACCCTCATCACTCACAACTGCTGTCCATTCCTGGCCTGATCACACACAGGTGACCCAATCTCCCATACCTTCCTTCTTTCTTTTTTTCAGTGCCTCCTTGAGCAAAGGCCAGGGCCATTTGGAAGCAAGTATTTGGATTTATCTTCTATAATTCAAACTTAGTAGCCTAGATCAGAGAACAGGGCCTGCCAGGGCAGGCAGGAAGCTTTGCTTCCTCAATCACCAGGGGCAACCCAAGCCTCCTGCTTGCTCCATGGTCATTGACATCTTAGTTGGATTAATTTGCATACTCACTCTTATTGGACTTGTGTGTGTAGTAGAGTTATGGTCATTTTCCATATTTCCTTATTAAAATGCACCCAATAACAATAGTGGTCGTGGGCATCGGAGAGTGATAAGTGTCTGGCCTGGGAATGTCTCTGCAGGGAGAGGTTGGAGTTCAAAAGAATTGGAGAGAAAAAAAAATCAATGCTGAGAGAGAATCATTTATCAGCTATCTCCTCTATGCTCCATACTCCAAATCCATCTGGGACACAGGCATCCTCCCTGATGAATGTAATTGTGAATTCCTAGTTTATATGTATGAATTTAGTGAACAAAATTCATGCACTCGGGGATCCCTTAGCCTGTGCTGTGCCTCTTGCAGTCCAGAAGCCCACAGGGGATGTCTGACTCAAAAAGGTAAATAACATGTTCAATGTTGGTGAAGGGCATGTACCTTGGTTGTAGGCATGACCCCAGTGGGGGATGTGTAGGAGGCAGCTGATTGATGTTTCTCTCATTGATGTTTCTAACTCTCTATCCCTTTCCCTTCCTCTCTGCAAAAAATGAATAAAGTACATATTTAATAAAATAAAAAGAATTATACAGAAATGTTTGTACTTGCTTTATTAAAAATAACAAAACATTAAAATGGACATGATGGTGATATATTAAAAAATATGACTATCCACTTGAGCCCTAGCCACTTTGGCTCTAAATAGAGCATAGGCCTGCAGACCAAAGGCTCCTTGGATCAATTCCAGTCAAAGGCAGATATCTTGGTTGAAGACTCCTTCCCATCCGGGGCCATAGTCACAGCTGTTGCAGGAGACAACCAATCGATGTTTCCTTCACATCAATATTTCTGTCTTTCCCTCTCTATTCCACTCTCCAACAAATTTAATGGAAAAATATCCTTGAGTGAAGTTTAACATCAACAAAAAGAATATGTATGAAAAAAAAAAAAAAAAAGGGATGAGCCGAAACTGGTTTGGCTCAGTGGATAGAGCATTGGACTTCGGACTGAAAGGTCCCAGGTTTGATTCAGTCAAGAGCATGTACCTTGGTTGCAGGCACATCCCCATTGTGGGTTGTGCAGAAGGCGGCTGATCGATGTTTTTCTCTCATTAATGTTTCCAACTCTCTATCCCTCTCCCTTCCTCTGTATAAATATCAATGAAATATATTAACAAATATGAGTTACAAATATATCTTTTAAATATCTCCAACAATTTATAAAATAATAATTAAAGCTGAGAAATACTTTGAAAAAGTCAAGTTCTTTATTAAGAACAGCAAACAGATTAAGAGCAGGTCATGAAGCAACTACACAGTCACAGATATGATCAATATTGAGTGTAATGATGATTTCAGTTTCATGTACATGTCAAGATTTATGAAACACTGCACTTATACATGCAATTTACTCATTTCAGCTGTTAAAAAAGGTTAAAAATAAAAGAAATATATGTACACATATTTTGGAACAGATTTGGCAACTCTATATTCAATTGACATACTTATTCCCTGTGAGCAAGTCTCATATCAATGACAAAAATGTAAAAAACAATAAAGAACTTTCACCCAAACCCACTAGAATGCTTAATGGGTCACAAAAGCTATATCTCAGGTCGAAAGACACCCTTTCTTTTCCTTAGTTTTGCTGCCAGAGCACCAATGGCTCTGATGGGAAAATCTGAGAAACAACAGAAAGCCACAAACCTCTTGATTATAATCAATAACAAAAACTGCTGCTGCACAGAATATAAACATGCAGGTAGTTTCTCACATGTGTGTGCACAACACTCCTGTAGTCATTTCCTCAACAAAATTTCTGTTTGCAGGTTTAGATGAAGACAATTCTATCTAATGGGCTGAAGTCTCATCAAACAACAATTAGGTCAGTGTTTCTGCAGTGAAAGGGTTTCTCCTCACTGTCATGGTACTCCAACCTGTGACCATAACCCATGGAATTGAGGCATTAGGGCAAATGGCCCTCTGCAAGACCTGGGCAGGAGGTTTCCCTCAAACGTCTTAGCATCCCCCGAAAACAAGAAAAAAATTCACACAGCTCCCAGACATACTTGAGATTCTCACAGCTAACCCCTCTTTGGAATGATGTCTATGTCTCATAGCATCCCTCTTCACATGAGGACTAGAGTCCACAGTGTTTCCTAGGTAAATAATGGAACGCAATGTAAATTTGGCAAAAAGTGCTGAGCTAATTACTACACCATAGTCTTCCCTCAAGGACAAAAGTTTTGGAGACCACATAAAAGTTTTTCATATCACCGTACTTGCAAAGCCCAGGTCTCCTTACAAACTAACACACTCAGTAAATAGAACACCAAAATTAAATAAGTGTTAGGAAAAGGCCTTCATTATTTTGCAAAGAAAGAGACCTGAGACTGACAGTTGATGACTTAGGCACTCAATAAATTCATCACTGGCATCTAGGGAGAGTGTGTTCCTGAAAATGGCAGAAACTGTTGTAGCAGTAACTCTACAACATTGTGTTTACTGGGGCCAACAGGAATCAGTCCTTCGTGGCAACTCATGACAGGGAAACAAGTAAGAACTAAGGACTCAGGTATTCCTAATTTTCTTCAACTAATTAGGCAACAGAGTTAGCTTGCTAGGCACATGAGGATGGTGATTGATGCCAACTGTGGGACCTGATAGGTGATTCAGGTGAAATATATTCAGCAACAGAAATACGCAATGACATAGATCTGAAAGAACATCTCTGTATGATACAAAGGGCAACATAATTACATAGTGTTCCAACATAAGCAAACACACACAACAGCAAACACACACTACATAATATGAGTCAGCAATGTATGACCCATACCATTCAGAAAAATAAGGATTCACAAATTTTGTGAAGTTCTAAGAAACTACATTTCCTACAAATATAAGAAATTTCTCACATTTGCACTCTTATGTGGAGAGTGAATTTAGAAATGTGCCCGCTATATTACTCACATTAATTGCACTCATAATGGCTTTCTCCAGTGTGAACTCTCTGATGATATTGGAGACCACTCCTCCATGTAAAAGATTTCCCACATTCACTGCATTTATAAGGCTTTTCTCCTGTATGTACTCTCCCATGACTACGAAGGTGACTGCGAGTGGTAAAAGATTTCTCACACTCACTGCATTGATAAGGCTTTTCTCCCGTATGAACTCTCTGATGTTTACAAAGGTTGGTATTAGAGGTAAAACTTTTGCCACATTCACTGCATTGATAAGGCTTTTCTCCTGTGTGAACTCTCTGATGATATTGATAACCATTGCTCGTTGTAAAAGACTTTCCACATTCAATGCATTGATACGGATTTTCTCCAGTATGAACTCTTTGATGACGACGAAGAGGAGTCCTCCATTTAAAAGATTTCCCACAGTCACTGCATTTATAAGGCTTTTCTCCTCTATGAACTCTCTGATGACTACAAAGATTAGTGCTAGTGGCAAAAGATTTCCCACATTCACTGCATTGATAAGGCTTTTCTCCTGTGTGAATTCTCTGATGATATTTAAATCCAGGGCTACTTGTAAAAGACTTTCCACATTCAATGCATTTATATGGATTTTCTCCAGTATGAACTCTTTCATGATTATGTAGGTGAGAGTTAGTTGTAAAAGCTTTTCTAAATTCACTGCACTGGTAGGGCCTTTCTCCAATGTGAACTCTCTGATGACAATGAAGTTCAGTGCTAGTAATAAAAGACTTTCCGCATTCACTGCAGTGATAAGGCCTTTCTCCAGTGTGCACTCTCTGATGATAAGAATCTTTAGCGCTTCTAGTGGAAGCGTTCCCAAATTTACTACATTTATAAGGCTTTTCTCCAGTGTGACCTCTCTCATGACAATGAAGGTTGCTGCTATCAGTAAAGTATTTCCCACACTCATGGTACGCATAAGCCTGTTTCACTGTGTGAACTCTCTGATCATAATGGAGGGCACTGCTACTGGCAAAAGCTGATGCACATTCACTGCTTACGTAAGGCCTTTCTCCAATGGGCAAAGTTTCATGATCACCTAGGCTGTGTCTACAGCTAGAAGCTCTCCCATATTCACTGCATTGATAAGGTCTCTCTTCTGTGTGATCTCGCTGTTGATCATGAAAGCTAGAAAATTTGGTTAAATATTTTCCACATTCAGCGCTCACAAAACCCTGACTTCCTGCATAGACATCCTTTTCCGGAATAAAATTGTGATTGCAACTACTGTCTTCCTCACATTCTTTTCTGGTGTAATAATTGTTTCTCCTTTGAAACATCATCTCACACTTTGAAACAGCACTTGGACTATCCTTGGACACAGTAGCCTTTAGGTGAAAATGTCTGGACCCAGTAAGGACACCATGCCCGACATCGCTGCATGTGAAATGATTCTGGGCCACATTGAAATTGTAGCTGTTTCCACGTGAGATCCTGTCCACACCGCTAATGAAAGTCTTCTCTGTCACATGCTGCTCTTCATCATTTACACTGAAGAAAAATCGGTTTGTACATGCCCTGCACCTCAAGAGTATCTGTTCATATTCTGTATCCTGCAGCTCAGTCAAATGAAAAATGTTTCCAAAGACTAACCCACAACCCTCACAGGGGTGGTTCTTTTGGGAAGACAAAGCTACCTTTGAATTCCTTGCCTGTGACATTCTTACAGAAACGTTCTCTTTAGTGGGTGCCTCCATATTCTCTGCTCCACAGCAGCAACCTGAACAAAAGGAAACACTGGTGAGGTACATGTTGATCTTATGAAAACAGAATATGTTCACCACAAATGTTTATGTGTCATAACTAGGCCTGGTTGCATAAAACCATTTTCAAGACAAATGAGGTATACTCTGAGGAAATACATAATGTGGCCTCACAAGTCCGTCAATGATGAAAAGCTCACGGGAAAAGGACAGAACCACAGGATAGGACACAAAGAAGAGAGGAAGGCTCTACTCATTGTTTTTGCAAAAACAGTTTCCTTTAGTATCTTACATGCTGGCCATATGAGTCTCTGTAGAATTATTTAAATCTGCTGAAGATATAAAAGTTAATTGGGAGAGAAACCAAGATGGAGGTGTAGGTGTGGAACTAATCTGCCGCCTGGCACAACAATTTCAAAAGTATAACTAAAGGACAATACGTCTAACACTCAAAACCACTGGAAAGCTGGCTGAAAGAGAAAGGAGCACAAGCGCTGAAAAGCTGAAAAGCTTAGAGGTGCGCACAGCAATCAATGTTTACTGCACTGGAGAGTGGAGACTTGGAAATGCTGAAAGGCAGAGATGGCTGATGGCAGCCATTGCTGTTTGCCATGCCCCAGCCTAGTGAAGTCCTGAGATTCTGTTCTGCCCTGATGCCCCACCCCATACATTCTACAAACCCACCGAGGCTCCACACAGCTGCTTTTGCATAAGCAGTGAAAATGCCAAGAAAAGGAAGGAAATCTCAAACAAAAGAAATGGAGGAGAACAAAAGAATGGATATACAGTTCAAAGCCACGGTTATAAAGTTTTTCAAGACTTTCCTAGAAAAGGCCAATAAATTTAACGAGACCCTTGAGGGTATGTAAAAGAAATTAAACCAACTAGAAATTAAACATACACTGACTGAAATAAAGATTTGGAATACAAAGAAACAAAGAACTCTCTTCCAGAGAAGCAAGAAGAGAAGAGAATCCAGAAAGTTAAAGATAGTGTAAGAAGCCTCTGGGACAACTTCAAGTGAACCTATATCAGAATTATGGGAGTGCCAGAAGAAGAGACAAAGCAAGACAGTGAAAACCTATTTGAAGAAATAATGACTGAAAACTTCCCCCATCTAGTGAAAGAAATAGACTTTCAAGTCCAGGAAGCACACAGAACCCCAAACAAAAGGAATCTAAAGAGGATCACACCAAGACACATCATAATTAAAATTCCAAGAGCAAAAGACAGAGAATCTTACAAGCAGCAAGAGAAAAGTAGTTAGTTACCTACAAGGGAGCACCCATAAGATTATCAGCAGATTTCTCAACAGAATATATGCAGGCCAGATGGGAGTGGCCAGAAATATTCTAAGTGACAAATAGCAAGAGCCTACAACCAAGATTACTCTACCCAGCAAAGTTATCATTCAGAATTGAAAGGCAGATAAAAAGCTTCACGGATCAGAAAAAGCTAAAGGAGTACCTCACCACCAAAGCAGTATTAGTGAAATGCTAAAAGGTGTTCTTTAAAAAGAGGAAAAAGAAGAAAAAAGTAAAGATAAAAATTATGAACAACAAATACATATCTATCAACAAGTGAATCTAAAAGTCAAGTGAATTAACAATCTGAGGAACAGAATAAACTGGTGAATATAATAGAATCAGGGGCATAGAATGGGAGAGGATTGATAATTCTGAGGGGGAAAAGGGTGTCTCTGTGTGCCGTATAGGAAGAGTCTAAACAAAAATCATATACCTATGGATGAGGACAGCGGGGGTAGGGGTGGGGTAAGGGCAGAGGGTGGAGTGGGGACCAGGTGGGGGGGTTTTGGGGGGAGGGGAAGTAGAAACAATTATAATAATATGAACAATATTTATTTCACACACAAAAAATTAATTGTACAGAGCACAGGATGTTCAATGTCAATATAATAACACATGTGCACTCCAAGGTGCTGCAGGCATGGACCAACATTGGAGTGCAGTAAAGAGCGACCTGTGAAAGAGGCAGAAGTGTAAAGTGCAGAGTGGTTAATGTTATACGTTAGGTGGGAAACCAAGTAGAAATGATCACTATTAGAACTGAAAAGTAGGCAAAGTATCAACATAAGCACAAACAAGCATAACTGGGTGAGGACTGTAAACCAACACTGGGTTCCTAGCTATAAATGTAACAAAGGCCAGCCGAGAATTCCTCCCTAATGACCCTTCACCAAGGCAAGATTGACTGTGGGTCCACTGTGTCATTCATAAAGTCGTGTTTCTTCTGTGATGCACAAATGTTTCTATCTAAATCTCATTAGAGCCAATGCATGGGATAAATGACAGAAATCTTCAAAGAAAAACAGAAAAGATGGATGGCCAACACTGTGGTAGAACAGAAAAGGAGAAATGAGAACACAGACAAAAGAACTATCTGTGTGACACCAGAAGATGTCAGGATCAGAGATATGAGCATCTTTCCCTACCACACTGTAAGTAGACAGGTAGCCATGAATAAGAATCACATAAGAAATGGGAGTAAGAGTACCTTGAAGACAATCAGTATTACACACAAATAAAGGAGAATGCTACAGAAAGGATGACTAGAACAGACTTGGTGAATAAAGATATCTGAAAATATGTACAGTCAAAAACAAGGGTCAGAGTTACCTCCAAGAGCCCCTGTGCTTCTGCTATCATTGACCATAGTGGACTGTTCTTGAAAAAAGATTGAAAATTTTTGTATTTAAAGACCACAGAATGGGTCAAGGCCGGTTTAGCTCAATGGATAGAGCATCGGTCTGCGGACTGAAAGTTCCCGGGTTCGATTCCAGTCAAAGGGATGTACCTTGGTTGTGGGTGCATCCCCAGTAGGGGGGGTGCAAGAGGCAGCTGATCGATGATTCTCACTCATTGATGTTTCTAACTCTCTTTCCCTCTCTTCCTCTCTGTAAAAAATCAATAAAATATATTTTTAAAAAATAATAAAAATAAAGACCACAGAATGGCTTTTCTAGTATGTCTCAGTCAGTGGATAGAGCATAGGCCTGTGGACTCAAGGGTCCTGGGTTTGATCCCGGTCAAGGGCATGTACCTTGGTTGCAGGCACATCCCCCCACCCCCAGTGGGGGGCGTGCAGGAGGCAACTAATCGATGATTCTCTCTTATCGATGTTTCTACCTATCCCTCTTTCTTCCTCTCCATAAAAAAATCAATAAAAATTTTTTAAAAAGCATATGTATAAAAAAGAAATATGTTTAGCCTTAACTGGTTTGGGTCAGTGGATAGAGCATTGACCTGCAGACTCAAGGGTCTCAGGTTCAATTCAGGCCAAGAGCAGTTACACTGGTAGCAGGCACATCCCCAGTAGAAAGTGTGCAGGAGACAGCTATCAATGTTTCTGTCTCATCAATGTTTCGACGTCTCTATCCCTCTCCCTTTTTCGCTGTAAAAACCTGTTAGGTTCAATGGATAGAGCGTTGGTCAGTGGACTGAAAGGTCCCAAGTTGATTCTGATCAAGGGCATGTAAATTGGTTGCGGGCACATCCCCAGTGGGGGGTGTGCAGGAGGCAACTGGTCAATGTTTCTCTCTCATCGACGTTTCTAGCTCTCTATCTCTCTCCCTTCCTCCTCTCTGTAAAATATCAATAAAATATATTTTTTTAAAATCAATGCTTCATAAAAAAACAAGAATACTGGATACCGCTGATAAAATTTAACTCAATCTACATTAAATGCCAGTGCTAAAACGTAAAACTCCTCAGGACAACTAGAGAAAAAGTTTTGGAGATTTGTTATGGACAAGACATTTTCTTTAAAAAATATATATATTTTTTATATATATATATATATAAAGAAAGGGATAAGGAGGGTGAGTTAGAAACATCTATGCAAGAAAAACATAAGTCAGCTGCCTCCTGCACACCCCATACTGGGGATGTGCCCACAAACAAGAATGCCCTTGACTGGAATTGAATCTGGGACCCTTGAGTTCACAGGTTGAGGCTCAATCCACTGAGCCAAACCGGTTAGGGATCAGACACGATTTTCTGAATGTGATATCAAAAACCAGAAAAAATAGACAAAACAAATAGTCCAGATTGCAACAAATAAAGAAAAACACCTTCTTCCCAGCACAACTGCAATAAACAAAATGAAAGGAAAGGAAATCTAGAGGATGGAAGAAAATACATACAAGTCATATGACGGAATAGCTTGGAGATGCTGTGGATTCAGTTCTGATCAGCACAATAAAGAGAATACTGAGATATAGACAGAAATTAACCCAAATATTTGGAGTTCCCACCGAATAAAAAAAAGTATGTTTATACTATACTGCAGGCTAATAATAATGCAATGACTGAAAAGCAAACTCTATAGAATTTCATTAAAAACACTTTATTGCAAAGCACTAGTACTAGTAACAACCATCTGAGTTTCTTAGAAATATGGTGGCATTAGACCTTTGTAACACAGGGTTGCCAAAACCATGGATTTTGTAGAAAAGCAGGTGCTGGAGAACAATACCTGCAAAGGACAATTAAGCACATGCAACAATATGTGTTCCTGTAGATCAGTGTTTTCCAAAGTGTGGTACGCGTACCCTCAGGGATACAGGAAGAGTTTGGTGGGGATATGCACTGCACCGTGCTTAGCTGCGCCTAATTCTACGTTCTCATGAGTACGAGGGGTACTCAGCTTTACGAAAATTATAGAAGGGATACACAGCCGAGACCGGTTTGGCTCAATGGATAGAGTGTCGGCTTGGGGACTGAAGAGACCCGGGTTCTATTCCGGTCAGGGGCATGTACCTTGGTTGCAGGCATATCTGCAGTAAGGGGTGTGCAAGAGGCGGCTGATCGATGACTCTCTCTCATCGATGTTTCTGACTATCTCTCTCTCTTCCTCTCTGTACAAAATCAATAAAATATATTAAAAAAAAAAAAAAGAAGGGATACACATATGTCAAAAGTTTGGAAAACACTGCTGTAGATTATAACAATTAATAGGTGTATAAAATATACAAGGTAGGCAAAAGAATCTTTAACCAAAATATACTTACTAATCAGAACAAGGATTTAGAGACAATTATTCAAAAACTATGTACAAATGACCAACAGGAATATAGAAAATGCTTTCCTCACTGATCAAGGTAATCCCTCAGGCTTCCTGAAACACTACCATCCACAAGTCCTTCCTGTGAACTAAGTCCAACTGGGAGAATTGGGACTTCAGGAACAGAAGGGAGCAGTGAAAACAGACCAACTTTCCCCAGGACACCAACTACTCAGGCAACTGGAAAATCAAGCAGACCCACAGTCTACATGGGAGGACACAGCACTCCCTGGGGGATGGTGCCTGAAAAATTGCAAAGCCAAGTCCAGGTCACTGGTGACAATGAGGGTCTTACCCAGCGAGGATACAAGTTCAAAGTTCTCCAGCATCACATTCAGGTACAGCTGTCTCTGACCCTCATCAAGGAGGTTCCATTCCTCCCTGGAGAAGTACAGGGCAATGTCCTCAAAGGTCACTCCAACCTGTTAGAAGTAAGAGAATTGACACCAGAGCTGTCTCTCCGAGAACCCCCACTCCTCTTTACACAGCTTCCCCCCTCAACCTACCAGGTCAGTATGGACACCAAGCCTGAATGCCAATACAGGCTGCTCTCTCATCACAGTCCCATTACTCACTGGGATCGCCCTCAGCAGAGTAGCTGGGTTGGGTGGGAAGGTTTGGGGGAGGGGAGGGGAGAGAGCAATGACATTTAAGCTCTGGGGATGCCTCAAAGGCCAAAGCCTTCCTGCCATGCAATTCCACTGCAGCCTCCTAGATCATGCCTCCAAGACAAGCCAAGAGTGGGTTTACGCTTCAGTTTTAAGTCCCCACATCAGGTTCAGGGGACCATCAGCTCATACTTCCTCCGGGTGTGCACACACTGAGTAATGTTTATCCCCTTCCCATCTTCAGAACCAGGTTCACTCCCTCAGCTCTGCCCCCTTCCTGCTCCAATGCCACTGGGTCTCGCTGGGCTCCCCATGAACTTGGCACATGGCATGTGGAGAAGCCTGTCTTCCAGCGGGTCCAGGACCACCCCCGGCCCCTGAGGGACCCCACAGCCGGGAAAGCCCCCATGAGGCTGTGAGTCCTCCCTGCAGCCTCTGATCTGCCCGCCGATCCTCACAGCTACACCCTCAGCGGCCGGTCACCCCCGTGCTCTCCGCCCCGCACTGGCTGTGTCCTCAGAAGCCACCGCGCTCCGCCCTCCCCTCCGCCTTCCTCACGGTCCTCCCCGCGGGCGGAGCTGCAGGAGGGACAGGCCCGCACCGGGCTGTGGGTGCGGGGTGAGGAGGCGGGGGGCCTGGGGGACAGGAACTCACCTCAGCGAAGCTCCTCAGCGCGGGCGCCGCCATCGCGCTCTGCGGGCCGCGCGGGGCGGGAGCGGCAGCCGCGGCAGGAATGGCGGGGCCTGTCCCGGCCCTGGCGGGGGTCCGGGCGGGGACTCCGAGCTTCAATCCCACGTGTGAGCGGTGAGCACCACGGAAGGCACCGCCGAACACCACCCTCCACCTTCTCCTCGGGACCCTGTGACAGGGGAAACCAGGCCGCCTCAGACAAAAAGCTGAGAACGGAATCTCTCCTCGGGGCTACCGGTCCCGCCCTACGTAAGCGGACAAACAGAAATGCCTTGAGATTCCATTGGCTGAGCCTGCTGTCATTCCATGCATAGCCTTCTGGGTAACGTAGTTCCTAAGCTACAATGCCAGGATTCCATTATGAGGGTGGTTTAAGGTGCAGAAAACCCAAGAACACACCAAGTAAAGGAAGTGTCCTCTAGAGCCTTCAGGGGAGGTGATGTCTGGGGCAAGTTTGTTTCTCCTGCACCTGATGGCTTCCTTTAGCTGCAAGTTTTGCATATCTTTCTTTAAGACCTGCTCTTCCTGAATGGAAGGCATTGTTTTCTTCATTCAGGACCTTAGGCAGGTGTCTCCTTCAGGCCAAATGTAGCTTGCAGAGATTCCTCAATTGTCTAACTCAGGGGTCTACAACCTTTAAGACAAAGAGCCACTTGGACCCATTTCGGAAGGAAAAAAAAAAACCCTGGCAGCCACAAAACCATTGTGACATTTAAAACAAATATAACACTGTATATATTGTTTGTTACTTTAATGCTATATACCAGATCGTGCAGTTAGCTGTAAATCTAAAGAAAAAAAGGACTTTTTCACTTAACAATGTAAAATATATTTTTGCAAATTAATAGCTAATTAAAATATTTAATTTACCTGGTTAATGGGATTTTTGCTCCTGAACCTCAGTGCAGTGTCTGCACATCAGGGCTGTAAGACGTTACCTTCATTTTCACACAGGCTTGCAAGATGTCATCTGTGAGGCATGACCGATGTTTGTTTTTATTATAGTTCATGTTGGAGAAGACCTGCTCACATACATATGTGGAGCCGAAGATCGACAGGACTCCAAATGCATACTTTTTCATGTTTATATAAGTGTTGGGGTTGGTATTCTATATTTCGAATACAAGTTTGTCCTGTTTGGAAAGGTTTTCAATATCACTCCATTTATGATTCTGAGCCAGAATGGCCTTCTGACGGGCAACATCCTCAACAGTAGTGGTCAAGCATTTGAACTTGGACAGCCATATATCTTTGTCAGCTATATCGGCCAGTTCCATCTCAAGATCAGGTTGACTTACACCTGCAAATGCAGTCATATTCAATAGGGATGGATCGATTGCCAGGGGAGTGACAGGAAAGGATAATGTGGTTTTTTCCTCTCTGAACTCACAGAATCGTTTCCCAAACGAACTTTGCATTGTAGTGATTGCAGACTTCAAATATTACAAATTTATCATGACTTTGTTTGAACTCTCTCAAAGAGGGAAAGTGAGACAGTGTACCTCTCTGTAAATCTTTGACAAACACTGTCAACTTGCGTTCAAATGCCAAAACCTCCTCCAGCATGTGCAGGGCTGTGCCTCCTTTCCCTTGAAGGGTTGTATTTAGTGTGTTTAGATGTGCTGTCATGTCTACAATAAAATGTAATTTTTCCAGCCACTCTGGTTGTTCCAGCTCAGCAAAGGTGAGCTCTTTGCTGGCCAGGAAAGTTTTTACTTCTTCCAAACATATGACAAAGCGTTTTAGCACCTTGCCTCTGAACAGCCACCCGACCTTGTTGTGGAGCAGGAGGTCAGAATATATGCTTTCCACTGTACAGGCCCGACTCCCAGTGACAGTCACACTGCAAGCCCACTCTTTCTCTTTCTCCAGTCCTCTCTGTCTTCTTTTTCCTTCTCCCTTTTTTTATTTATTGCTTTTTTTTAATTATTTTTTTTCAGTGTTCCCTCTGTCAGCACCTCTTTTTCCCCTTGCAGCAGTCTCCTCCTCCCCAGCTCAGAGGTGCATGCTCAGCATGTCCTCAGTGACACCACACGCTGTGATGTGAGGGAGGAGGCTGGGCCAGGACAGGAACTCTATGGTTGCCTAGCGACGCTAAGTCCCAGCAACCTGCCACACAGAGCACCAGGAGCGCCAGAAGCAGCTGAGGTAAGTGATACAGCTCCCTGCCCCCCCAGTAGGGAGCTGCAGGTTGCCGACATCTGGTCTAACTCCTGTTTAAATCTATCTAACCTGCATCCACTGAATCCACTGTACAAAGTTAATGTCACCGGACACTTATACTTAACACTCTGCTACTGATCCCATCCAAAGTGTCAGCTCTGACTGGGCTGCAGTGTGGAGATGATCAAGAGATATGTGAAAAAATGCTCAAAGTGACTGATCATCAGAGAGATGTAAGTTAAAGCAACAATTAGGTATCACCCCACCACTGTCAGAATGACTGCCATCAGCAAATCAACAAAGGACAAGTGCTGGGTGGATGTGGCAAAAAGGGAACCCCTGTACTCTACTGCTGGGAAGGCAAACTGCTACAGCCCTTATGGAAATCAGTATGAACTTTGGTAAAAAATTTAACAGGGCCCTGACTGATTTGGCTCAGTGGATTGAGAGGGCAGGGCAGGGTGAGAGGGCAGGGCGGGGCGGGGCCAGCTCCCGGTAACTGGACCCTAGCCCTAACCCAACCAATCAGGTCAGCCAAGGTAGTGGCACCAACCCTCCTATAAAACCCATTGATATGTTAAGTTCTTTCTCTCTCTCCCCATGCCCTTGCTGGTGTAAGTGGGACTGAGCTTGGACTAGTCCGAAATAAATACAGGCTTTCAGCAATTGCATCGGATTCAGCTCTCTGGTAGTTTTTGGGGTTTACGACACTTGGGCATTACATGGATAGAGCTTAGGCCTGGGGACTGAAAGGTCCCAGGTTTGATTCCAGTCAAGGGCATGTACCTTGGTTGAGGAAAATCTCCAGTAGAGGGTGTTCAGGGGGTAGTTGATTGTTGTCTCTCTCTCATTAATGTTTCTAGCTCTCTATCCCTCTCCCTTCCTCTCTGTAAAAAAGTCAATAAATTAAAAAAAAAAGAAAAAAATTCATGCTGCTCCAACACATACTTGAGGTTGTGACAGCTACCCCCTCTTTGAAGTGATCTCTCTGTCTCCAAGCATGCACCTTCACATGAGGACTAGAGTCCACAGTATTTCCAAAAAAAATATGGGTAGCAATGAATATTTGGCAAACACTGCTGTGCTAATTTCTGCACCATACCTTTCCCGTTGTTCACCATGCTTAAACCGCAAAGTTCTCATAAACTAACCCACACAGCAAACAGAACACCCAGGATTAAAGAAGCCTCAGGGAAAAGCCTTCTTTATTCCACAAAACAAACATATGTAAGACTGGCAGCTCTTGCCTTCATGTCTTCGGCATTCAACAAACCCATCACTGGCAGTAGGGAAAGTGTGACCGTGAGCGTGGCAGTAGCTCTGCGATACTCAGTCTTCTGGGGCAAACACTAAGGAGCCCTGTATGGCAACTCATGAAAAGGAAAACAATGAAGGACTACTCCTTTAGGGGCTCAGGTATTCCTGATGTTCTTCAACAAATCGGACAACAGAGTTAGCTTCCCAGTCCACATGAGGATGTTGAATGATTCCATCTGTAACCATTTTGTAGGTGGTTCAAGTGAAATACCTTTAGCAACAGAAGTGTGCACTGACATACATCTGGCAAGACATCTCTGTATTTTAGAAAGTGCAACAGTTGGCTGAAACGGTTTGGCTCAGTGGATAGAGTGTGGGCCTGCAGACTGAGAGGTCCCAGGTTAATTCAGATCAAGGGCATGTACACTGGTTGCGGGCACATCCCCAGTAGGCAACTGGTTGATGTTCCTCTCTCATTGATGTTTCTAGCTCTCTATCCCTCTCCCTTCCTCTCTGTAAAAAAAAAAAAAAAAAAAAAAAATCAATAAAATATATATTTTTAAAAAGAAGTGTGACTAGAGCCAATGAAAAAATAAATAAATAAATAAATAAATAAAAGAGAAAGTGCTCAAAAAGCAAACTCTGGAACCCTGGCCCAGGCAAGTACTATTTGTCACTTTTATTGATTCTCAAAGTCTTGACACTACCTTCATGTCACATTTAGCCATCTGAGGTGCAGGGAGCTGTAGTGAGTCTCCTGGAGGCTCCAGGTTAGAGGCCCAGCACGGAGACCATGGTGGCCACAGTACTGCCTCCCTGCAGGTGGGTCAGCGGGTTCAGAAAGGCCTCGGATGTTTCTCAAAAGCCCTTAAACACAAAGGTGTGTGTTGGCGCTGGGGCACTGAGGGTTCTTATCAGGAGAATGTTTCCTAAGGTTGCTCTTCTAGAGGTGATGGAGAATGTTAGTAGTGCCAGTTAAAATTAAGTGTTCACTGCATTGTGCATAGTATTTAAAAGCAAAAAATTCCCAGTGATTTCTATTTATCAAAATGCCTCAGTGGTTTAGCATCAACACAGCAAAAAAAGGTCCACCATTAGATTTCTGGTCAGTGCACAGGCCTGGGTTCAGGGCTCCATTCCCAGTAGCTGTGTAAAAGGTAGCCTATCAATGCTTCTCTCTCATCATTGATACTTCTATTTCTATTTCTCCCACTCCCTTCCTCTCTGAAATCAATAAAAAAATATTTTAAATTTTTCTCATATTCTGATTTCTCTTCAGGTCACATAAATCTTTCATCTTTTAAAAATCCCTGATAATACATATTTTTAAAGTATAAAATATTAAAACACATTATTCCAATCCAAAAAAAAAATTTATTCCCTAAATCAAAAAAGGCACAAATGGAGGGAAATTTCAACACCCATGTTTGTCATTCCACTGTTTTTTTTTGTTAAATTGCCCAAACTCATAGGACATTAGGCAGAACATATGATCAGAAGTTTTTAACAAAGATACAGACAAGTAAATATACATCTCAGAAAAGACTCACTATAGCCTAAACTAGTTTGGCTCAGTGCATAAAGCGTCAGCCTGTGGACTGAAAGGACCCAGGTTTGATTCCGATCAGGGGCATGTATGTTGGTTGCGGGCACATCCCCAGTGGGGGGTGTGCAAGAGGCAGCTGGTCGATGTTTCTCTCTCATTGACGCTTCTAGCTCTCTTATCTCTCTCCCTTCTGCTCTGAAAAAAATCAATAAAATATATTGAAAAAAAAAAAAAAAAAGAATGTTTTCTCATCACGACTCTTTTGTGAAGAGGTAATTTACAAATTTGACGGAGATATCACCCATTAATTGCACTCATCACGACTTTCTCCACTGTGAGCTGCATTATGATATTTAAGACCATTTCTACTTCTAAAAGATTTGCCACATTCATTGCATTGATACTTTTCTCCAGTGTGAACTCTCTGATGAGTATGAAGGCTACTGCTCCAGCTAAAACATTTCCCACAATGACTGCATTTATAAGGCTTCTCTGCGGTGTGAACTCTCTGATGAGCATGAAGACTAGTACTACGAACAAAATATTTCCCACATTCACTGCACTGATAAGGCTTTTCTCCTGTGTGAACTCTCTGATGATATTTGAGACTAGTGCTACTGGCAAAAGACTTTCCACATTCAGTGCATTGACAAAGATTTTCTCCAGTGTGAACTCTCTGATGACTATGAAGGTTGCTGTTATTGGTAAAAGTTTTCCCACATTCACTGCATTGATAAGGCTTTTCTCCTCTGTGAACTCTCTGATGATATTGGAGACCAATTCTACTAGTAAACGACTTCGAACATTCATTGCACTTATAAGGCTTTTCTCCTGTGTGAACTCTCTGATGATATTTGAGGACACTGATACCCGTAAAAGACTTTCCACATTCACTGCATTGATAAGGCTTTTCTCCTCTGTGAACTCTCTGATGCCTATGAAGGTTGTTATTATTGGTAAAAGTTTTCCCACATTCACTGCATTGATAAGGTTTTTCTCCTCTGTGAACTCTCTGATGATACTGGAGACTAGTTCTACCAGTAAATGATTTCGAACATTCACTGCACTTATAAGGCTTTTCTCCTGTGTGAATTCTCTGATGATATTGAAAAACAATGCTCCTTGCAAAAGACTTACCACATTCACTGCATTTATAAGGCTTTTCTCCTGTGTGAACTCTCTGATGACAATGAAGGTAATTTTTGCTGGTAAAAGATTTTCCACATTCACTGCACTTATAAGGCTTTTCTCCTGTGTGAACTCTCTGATGACATTGAAAAACAATGCTCCTTGTAAAACGATTCTGGGACATGTCAAAATTACAACTGTTTCCATCTGAAATCGTGTCTACACCTCTGATGAATGTCTTCTCTCTAACATGCTTTTTGTCAACTTTTACACGAAAGTAAAACCGTTCTGCACATGCCCCGCATCTCAAAAGTACCTGTCCATGTTCGTTTCTTTGAAGCTCCATCACATGGAATATGTTTCCCAAGGCAAGGCCACAACTCTCACAGGGATGGCTCTTCTGGGAAGACAAGGCTACCTTGGGATTCCTTCCCTGTGACACTCTTACTGAAACCTGTTTTGTTGGTCCCTCCACATTCTCTGCTCCACAGCAGCAACCTGAACAAGAAGAATGGAAGGTGAAATACATGTTGACCTTATGAAAATGGAGTATCTTCAACACAAATGTTTCTGTCATGACTAGGCCTGATTCCAAAGAAAAATTGTTAAGACAAGTGAAGTGTACTCTGAGGAAATTGCTGTTATACATAAGTGGCCCCAAAAGTCAGTAGACAATGAAAAGCTTACCAAGAGAAGGACAGAAGTACAAGATGGGATACAAAGAAGAGAGGAAGGTTCTAGTCATTGTTCCTGCCCAAACAGCTTCCTTTAAAATCTTATATCTGACCATGTGAGTCTGTGTATAATAATTTAAAGCTGCTCAAAGCCATAAAAATTAATTGTATTAGTGCACATAATGTTCAACGTCAATTTAGTAACATGTGTGCACTCCAAAGCACTGCAGGCATGGGCCAACGTTAGTTGGCAGAAAAGAGATTTGTGAAAGAAGCAGAGGTTCAAAGTCCAAAGTTAAGGTTACTAGGAATCCCAGTAGAAACGATTGCTATTAGAACTCAGTAGTTGGCAAAGTATCAATAAACACAAACATGCATAATTGGCTGAAAAATAGGCAACTGAAAGAAAACACTGGGGGGCTGAAACTGGTTTAGTGGTTGCCGGCACACTCCGGTAGGGAGAGTGCAGGAGGCAGCTGGTTGATGTTTCTCTCTCATTGATGTTTCTAGCTCTCTATCCCTCTCCCTTCCTCTTTGTAATAAATCAATAAACAAAAAATAAAAATAAGCCGAGACCAGTTTGGCTCAATGGATAGAGCGTCGGCTTGGGGACTGAAGGGACCCGAGTTCGATTCCAGTCAAGGGCATGTACCTTGGTTGCGGGCATATCCCCAGTAGGGGTGTGCAAGAGGCATCTGATCGATGACTCTCTCTCATCGATGTTTCTAGCTTTCTATCTCTCTCCCTTCCTCTCTGTACAAAATCAATAAAATATATTTAAAAAAAAAAAAAAAAAAGGAAAGAAAACACTGGGTTTCTATCTATAAATGTAACCAGGGTCAGCCAAGAATTCCTCCCCAGTGACCCTTCACCAAGGCAAGGCCGCCTGTGAGTCCATTTTGCCATTCATGAAGTCCTCTTTATTCTGTGATGCAGAAATGCTTCTGCCCCTTAAGCCCATTTGAGTCACGGCATGTGATAAATGATGCAAATCTTCATAGAAAAACAGACCACAGTTGAATGTTCATCACTGTGGTAGAACAACAAATGACAAATGAGATCATGGACAAAGACCTATGTAAGTGACATCATCAAGCTTGCAGGATCACACATATGAGTATAAGTAGACAGCTATCCAAGACCAAAGCATTAAACAGGAAATGAAATTAAGAAGGATTACAGAAAACAAGAGAGAACTGTATAGAAGAAATGCTAAAGAAGACTGGGTAAACAAAGACATTTGAAGATACCTACAGTTAAATAACAAAAAAGGGACAGAAATATCTCCACAAGCTACTGTGCTTCTGACATCATTGATCCTAGTGAACTCTTCTTCAAAAATTTTGTGTTTACAAACCACAGAATGCCTTTCCAACTATGGCTTAGTTGATTGGAGCTTCGTCCTACGTACCAAAGGGTCAAGGATTCAATTCCCAGCCAAGGCACATATAAGTATGTGGGTTCCACTTCCAGTTACCTAGTGAGAAAAAGGCAGCCGACTGCTTTTTCTCCCTTACAATGAAATGATGTTTCTCTCTCTCTCTCTCTCTCTCTCTCTCTCTCTCTCTCTCTCTCTCTCTCTCTCTCTCTCTCTCTCTCCATGTCTCCTCCTCTCTATTTCAAAATAATAAATAATAAATTACCAATAATTTCAATATAGCCAAATGCAAAAGAGAATTCAAAAAACTCTAGAGCTGAAACCGGTTTGGCTCAGTGGATAGAGCGTCAGCCTGCAGACTGAACGATCCCGGGTTCGATTCTGGACAAGGGCATGTGTGTTGGTTGTGGGCATATCCACGGTGAGAGATGTGCAAGAGGCAGCTGATCAATGTTTCTCTCTCATCAAGTTTCTAACTCTCTATCCCTCTCTCTTCCTCTCTGTAAAAAATCAATAAAATATATGGATTAAAAAAACAAACAAAAAAATCTCTAAAGACAAAAACAACACAATCTATCAAAAGTCAAGTATAAAATTCAGAAAATGTAATTCTAAGATAAAATTTTATATGGATAGACTACATAAAAAAAAAAAAAAGATATGCCCAAACCGGTTTGGCTCAGAGAATAGAGCATCAGCCTGCGGATTGAAAGGTTCCAGATTCCATTCCGGTCAAGAGCTTGTACCTGGGTTGCGGGCACATCTTCACTAGGGGGTGTGCAAGAGGCAGCTGATAGATGATTCTCTCTCATCGATATTTCTAAGTCTCTATCCCTCTCCTCTCTGTAAAAAAATCAATAAAATATCTTAAAAAAAAAAAAAAAAAAGATTTGAAAAAAACCTAACACCTCATCTCAGGAATCTCGAAACAAAACAAGCAAGTAAACCCAAAGGTGGCAAATTAATGTAATAATAAATATTTGAACAAGCATCAATAAAAGAGAGATAAGACAATATAAAGAATACTTAACATGTACTTTTCTTAAAAAAAAAAAAAATTAAATCTTATTGATTTTTTAGAAAGAAGGATAGAGTTAGAAACATCGATGAGAGAGAAACATCAACAAGCTGCCTCCTGCACACCCCTACTGGGGATGTCCCTGCAACCAACATATATGCCTTTGAACAGAATCGAACCTGGGACCTTTCAGTCCGCAGACCGATGCTCTAGCCACTGAGCGAAACTGGTTTAGGCCCTAACAGGTAATTTTCTAAAAAATACAAAAACTGGCAAAATTTGGGTTGGACTAAAGCAAAAAACAAAAACAAACAAACAAAAACAAGCCTCAAGTAAATGAAAAAAGAAATGAAAGATAAGACATTACACCTCACATTATGAACTACAAAGCATCATAAGAGACGTTGATGTTAGGAGGTGACACGACCTTTCATAGAGAAATTTGCAAAGATCCAATATGAGCTTCTGAAATTAATACACAAATTCACAGCCCTGCCCACGTAGCTCTCTTGTTGAGTGTGTGGTCCCCATGCACCAGAGTTGTGGGTTTGATCCACCATCAGGGCACACGTAAGGGACAGCCAATGAATGCTTGGATGGGGAGAACAGCACATCAATGTTTCCCTCTTTCTCTGTCTCCCTTCCTGACCCTAAAATAAATAAATAAAGGTTGGACAGTACAGGCCAGTGATTGACCATCGACCTATGACCTTTCAGATTATAAATCCATTGCTTAACAGGGGACATGCACAGTTTGCCAGCCCAATCTCCAATGGGGGATGTGCAGGAAGAGGTTGGTTAATGTCTCTCTTTCATTCTTCATGTTTCTATCTCTCTCTCCTCTTCCTCTCTGAAATCAATAAAGTATAGTTACAAAATAAATAATTTAAACAAGAAATAAAGAGCCCTGGCCCATGTTGCTCAGTTCTGAGAGTGTGTAGGTGTACACTTGAAAGTCATGGATTACATTCCCAGAAAGGGGCAGGTATGTGGGTTTCGGGTTGAATACCTCTCTTAATGGGACCACATGTGGAAGGCAACCAATTGATATCTATCTCTCTGTCTGTCTCTCTCTCACTGTGCCTCTGTTCTCATTGTCTTTCTCTTTCTCTATGAAAATAAAAATTCATGGAAAAATATTCTCACTATTTAGGGGAACATAAAACAATAATAAACAACTGAATTCAGAAAAGTTATGGGCATCACTAACAGGTTTGGCTCAGTGGATGGAGCATCAGCCTGTAAAGGGTCCCGGGTTCGATTCCAGTCAAGCGCATGTACCTTGGTTGAGGGCATATACCTAGTGAGGAGTGTGCGGGAGGCAGCTGATAAATGTTTCTCTTTCATTGATGTCTCTAACTCTATTCCTCTCCCTTCTTCTCTGTAAAAAAACCAATAAAACATATTTTTTGTTAAAAGAAAGAAAGAGCCGAAACCGGTTTTGCTCAGTGGATAGAGCGTTGGCCTGAGGACTGAAGAGTCCCGGGTTCGATTCCAGTCAAGGGCATGTGTCTTGGTTGAAGGGACATCCCCAGTAGGGGGCGTGCAAGAAGCAGCTGATCAATGATTCTCTCTCATGGATGTTTCTCTCCCTTCCTCTCTGTAAAAAATCATTAAAAATATATATTAAAAAGAAGAAGAGGAAGAGGAAGAGGAAGAGGAAGAGGAAGAGGAAGAGGAAGAGGAAGAGGAAGAAAGAAAGAAAGAAAGAAAGAAAGAAAGAAAGAAAGGAAGGAAGGAAGGAAGGAAGGAAGGAAGGAAGGAAGGAAGGAAAAGTTATGGGAGTGACAGAACAGAACAGAAATTAGAAAATAAATCCAGGCACATCCTTTCAAGTAATCTCTGACAAAGCTGCAAGACACAGAAGAAGGGAAAGATAGTTTCTTCAATGAATGGTGCTGTTGAAATCAATACTTACATATAAACACAACAATACTGGCCACCACTGATAAAATGTAACTCAACCTGCATGACAGAATTGAATGTCAGCGCTAAAACTGAAAACTCCTCAGGACAATCTAGAGAAAAAGTTTTGGAGGCTTGTTTTGCAACAGATTTTCTAAATGTGACACCAATCACCAGACAAAAGAGAAAAAACAAACAGTGCACACTGCAACAAATAACGATAAAAAGGTTC